AGAGAGAGACAAGAAAGAGATTAATCTAGCATCATAATGTGATGCTAGATAACACTGAAACAACAGACATTTATAAAAGAATTGATGTTTGATTCTTCCAGAAAGAAAAAAAAGATTTCTTAACGAAAAAAGGAGAAAGATACAGGAATATATCTCTCAGTCTAAGATACCAAAATCATACCTTTTAATAGATTGGAAAAGATTTAAAAAAAAACTAATCATTTTGCTTCAGGGAGGATGTGAATGAAGAAGATCATTCTTAAAACCTTTTGTGCAACTCAGAGCTGTGGGCATGAATGAGGCATTTCGAACTGACAGACAACTGAACCAGCAAATGAAACATAGTAGATAAAAAGAATACAATGAATAACTATTCCTCTTTTCAAAGACAGGATATTCACAGCAACAGAAGCCAACATCTGTATAATAACCACCACAGTTTTGTCTATGAAGCATGGGTCTGTTTTACACATCTATTTTGTGTGTTTAAGACTGCATAAAAAACAAAACAAAATAAATTTCTTTCTTGTATTTTTCTTGCTTCTTCACACATGTGAAGAAGCAAAAAAGCTTCTTCACACAAACCACTTTTGTCTTTGTCACATGTTGCAACTCTAAAGTCCCTCATGCATGAGAAGAGAAGTATTTTGAAGGGGGAAAAATGGGTCATATACTGTACTTGTCAGAAGTGCCTTTTTCATGACAGAATGTAAATTTGAATTTTATTGCCGATCTCACATTTAACAGATAGATTTATTTTATAATCCTGTCAAGTGGGAGGAGGAGATGTGTCTGCAAAGAACATTTTTTTTTATTTTTGCTAAGCTGCCTGAGCGCCCTCATCTATAATTTCAAGTTAAATGCCAAAGGCAATTAGGTTTGCTTACAAATTGTGCAACACGCATAAAAAAGGCTCCAAGTAACAAGTTCAGAAGTTTGGAGGTTTGCAAGCATTGCAATTCAAAATACAAAAATTCAAACGAGGAATAAAGCAGAGTTCACAGAGTGTAAGAAGCAATACAATCTATCTAGACAGAAGACAGAATAACCCAAGTTGCAGACATCAAATGGAGTTGCATTAGTGCCAAGCTACAGTATATTTTACTATTTACTCTAAAGCAAAGCAGCTTTAAAATAATGCAAACACTCAGACTGTTCCTACTGCTTCTTTTGTTGTCGGTTTGATATTTTCTGCAGCCTATTTGGTTACAGTAATGAAATCAGTAGGCTAGAGTTCATGTTTTTAATTAAGAAGTAAGGAAAGCAAAATGGAACTTTTGTTAGTGGGGTGAACCTGCAGATGTCTGTTTTCTTTCGACAGCATGATACTCATTCAGCTCAGAAAATAAATAAGGCCAATCTTACTACAGGGTTTGCAGCAGTTATGAGAATATTCATACGTGGCTTAAAGCAATTGTTTCTAAAGTACAAACTGAAATAATCTTCTATATAGAACAGAAACATGGGGCTCAATCTGAACAACTGCTGTGATTCCCTCTGTGCAAGTCAGACAAAACACCCATTCACCCCCAACCTAACCATTCTACTAATGAGGAATGTACTGTAACTGAATATCTTGTAGCTTTAGCTTAGTAATAAAGTATTGTACTGTATTGGAGGTTTCTATTCATTGCAGCTCTGCGGCAAGGTAACCTCACCGTGGCAGCTTTCCTGGGGACTGATTAAATCTTGCACTTTGGCATAAGAAGATAATTTGCACCTGGGGTCTGCTGGAAACGTGTGTGTTCACCTGTGATTCTTTTCTAGAAACTAAAATCCATAGTGCTCCCAAGTGGCTCAATCAGTACCAGTGTTCATTCACTTGCTCAGAGCACAGGTTGTGCCCTGTAGTCCATATACAGTCATTTCAGGTCTAGACTATGACTTTAGCTGAATAATATGGGAAATCCCAGTCAGAAACAAATAATTTGTTAAGCATTGCTGGTGTTGATGGGGTTTGAATTGGCAGATGAATCTTTAGTGCACCCTGTAACACTATTGGAACTTGGAGGTGGCTATTGTAAGGTTGCAGTATACCCATTCAAAGATGCACCATTCCTCCAATCAGTGGTACTTGAGGAGCCCGTCAAATGTTAGTGACTTTAAATTCAGGGGTTGTACTGTATACAGTATAACGGCAATATAACAGTATATAACATACTCCGTTGTTTTAAAATATTAGGTTCAAACCTCATGGAGACACTTATCTTTTCAAAAGACTTACAAATCTGTATTCAGATCTCCAATAACTATATAAAGTCATATAAAATACAGATGCAGCCATCTGGAAAAAACATCAAAACTTGAGTTAGCAGGCAACCCAAGGCAAACTGCGGTAAAGTTACAGTTTGTTCCGGCATACCAAATTCCACCCTTCACTGCGCAAAGAAGATCGATAGGTGGCACTTAGATGTTAATGAAACTGCACCTTCACTTTATCCTTCTTTCTTGGTCGAAATATCATAATTGATCACTTAAAATGTAACCTACTGTGTTTTATACGTTATACAGTAAATGCATCTAAAATACATAGCCTAGCAACTGTTTTAACATGTCACGTGAACTTTTCTGAGACTTTTTAAAAGTGGTTTTAAATACTTCCTTTCTTGTTGGTTTGACAGCATCAGTACTGTTACTGTTACTGGTAATGAAGATAAAAAGCAAAGATCTTGAAGCAAAAAAACCAAAAAGCCAACTACAAACAGAGGGTGCTAAAGAAAGCCAAGAACATCATGGAGGGCACACCCCCTCCACCGCGAAATTACACTACTCCCATCTTGGAGATACCACTGTGTCCCCAGGTGTAATTTTTTTTAAGCTGAACAGCTTGAATTTGAACTTTATTGCCATATGTAACCGGTACATGTACTGTTACAATGGAATTCTTACTTACAGAAAGTCAAGCGCAAAAACACAAGTGCAGACAGTGCATCAAGACATATACAAACAAACAGTAGACAATGTACAAGTAAACAAGTAAATAGTAAACAGTAATCAGTTAGCTCCCTGACTTCTTGCATCCCTACACACTGTGATTCTGATTTAGGTAATCAAATATGTGAACTGTAAACATTACAAACTTTTCTGAAATTCAAAAGTAAACGAAAGCTAGTAAACTAGTCACGTTTAAAGATCATACCAATTTAGCATGATTTGCAAACACTGTAGAGACAGAAAATGAAATTCAGAAAGATTTTGATAATCTGGGCATCTGGGCAAACAGCTGGCAGGTGATATTTAATATAGATAACAGGAGGGTTTTGCATGCTGGTAGTAAAAGCGTCAACTATAAATACAAAATTCAAAACATACAGCAGCTGGAAGAGGATATTTTTGAAAAAGACTAAGTTTACAGACAAAAGTAAAATTGTTCTGGGGCACTTATTTAAATCCTTTGGCAAAATTCTTCGAACTTTCGAACTAAAGTCGATTCCTTTACCCTAGAGGTTGTGTTACTTTTAAAAAAAATAAACAGTACAGAAATGCAGTACAGTAATGTATAAAAATAGACCAGCTCAAGAAAATCTAAAGTCTGTTCAGTTATTGCCTGCGTTCTGGGTTTTACCCAGTCACATTAAGATTTAATTGCACCAGAGATTCTTGTTAAAAAGCAGAAACCACACTTTCTCCTTTTTTATGACAATGTATTTATGTAAATGTTTTTGATTTATAATATGCTGTTTTGGTGTGTTTCTCAGTAATTTCACGTAAGTTTTCACTCAGCATTTTGAATTCATATTGTTTTCTTTTGAAACACCTCTGGTTTGTTTGGTTTCACTTCCTCTGCAAGCAATTATTACATCAGTAATCTTAATTATTTTCTTTATCTATAATGTTTCTTTGAAGTGTAATGGAAAATGAATCTTCCTATCAAATAATCCCATCATGGAGCAATGCTTGAAGCAGAACGCTCAAGACTCCAGGATAGTTTGTCTTTCCCCAGCTGAAGCTACATACAGTAGGAAACCCTAGTGGCTTACCAGCTATCTGTGCGACTGCAGTATGATCACTGCATTAGTCTTCCCACTGGACAAACATTGTGAAAAAGTGATAATGAATCCAAAGTACACATTTACAGGAAATCAAGTTCATTTTCAGTCATTTTCATTAGCAGCAGTAATCTGAATCCGCTGACAACATTTGATTCAAAATTGCAGAGAATCGAAGGACAGGTAAAACAAAATATGTAATGAGTACAAAGTTAAAAAAAAGATTTAAGGTAAGAAGAACCTTAGCTATCTGAAACCAACCTGGTCTGAAAATAAAAAAAAAATCATCATACGAATAAAGGGACAAAAAAAGGCATTTCGCAGTGGAGCCAGCTCACATTTGATAATATATTTTATATCACTGTAGCAGTGGAACTGAAGCATGTAATAAACCACTGCTACAGCTATGTAATGCTGTAGGCATAACAACATTCCAGACTCTCAGTACATTGGTCAAGCACAGATTATTGGGAACACATGAGAAACTGCTATACTGACCCACAACTCTTCACAGCTACGACATTTTGTTTAAGGTTGAAACCTGGCTACATAAGCAACATATTTTAAAGGAAACAACACGGTGTCAATTGTGAAACCAACCTATGAAACCACACTAGTGGAAAAAAAAGAAAACCTTTAAAATATAGGTTCTGATTTAAAACTAGGCAACTGCCATTATCATTCTGTCTAAAACAATCATAATTATCTTGTTAACATCTGAATTGGATGATTTGTTTAAATATAAAAGCAATAAAACTCTACAGGGAGTGGGTGTAGGTCTGAGATACTATATGGCCTTCTTAAGTTTTCTTCTATCCTTTAAATGCACATTATTCGTAAAACAGCTTCGCCACCATTAATTTTAATTCTGCACTTGACAAAACTTGACAAAATGTCAGGCAACTGCCTTTCCTGTTTTTGCAATAATATAAAACAAATATACAAAAGTACCGTTTAACATATAAAATCAAAACAATTCCACGTTCTGCCTTTTGTTGTTTATGAACTTACTTGGAAATGTCTCTGCCATCTTGTTGCCATGGGAACAGCACATTTCCAACTGCAGCCCGGTAACTGTAGACTCCCAGCAGTCCCAACCCAAGAGCTATTTTTGAGACCAGAGAGCACCTTCGCTGTACAAGGAGGAATATCAGGACCAGGGAGGCAGCTGCCAGGAGTGAGAGCTCAACGATGTGCTCAGAGCTGCAAAGAAGAATTAAACACTTAATTAACAACTACAATTAGTGCAACAACCCTCTTCCCTGGAGACAGTCAAAATAAGGAGATTTCCCCCAGTAGCTTTATGGTTGGGATTTTAACACACATACTTTGCACGACCACCTCAGTGGGCCTTGCGCAGTGTGCATCTGATTCCGAAGTGTGTATGCTTAATGTTTTTAATGTTTCAGCTATTCTTCTGTGCCCCAAATACTTTTTTTAACACAAACTATTTATACAAAGATCAACAAAAGCAAAAGCAACATGGGATAAGGGCAATGGTGAAGTCAACTGTGAATTGCTCTCCCATTAAAAGAGGACTTCATCCAACCATTCATCCATCTATCTACTGTACTGTCTAACTGTTTCATTCAATTCAGGGTCACCAGAGAGCAGGAGCCTATCCTGGCAACCTATGGGCACAAAGGGTAAACCCTGGACTGGATGTCAGTACATCTCAGGGCAGACACAGACACAAACACACACTCACACACTGGGGTCAGTTCTTCCAGAAGCCTGTTAACTTGCCGGTGTAACTTTGGACTGTGGGAGGAAACTGGAGCACCTTGAGGAAACCCAGGCAAACAAAGGTAACAAACTTTGTGGAAATAGCATCCCAGGTCTGAAATTGAACCCAGGACCCCTGCTCCGTAAGGCAGCAATGCTAAACACTGCTAAAACACTTTATTTGCAGAAAACATAATAGTCTATCCCATATTATTCCCATGATGTAAGTTTGTTTTGATGTCATAAAAAATATACAGGGATTATAACCTTAAAAAAGGTAATAATCTCCTCACTGACAATAAATTAATACCTACAGTATACTGTATTACCAATAAGAGATTCTAAAGTAGTCTATGGCTGAAGTACGTTCGTACTGCCACTGGATAAAGGCATTTCGATTCCTGTTTGTCCTTATTTTTTTTCCTCAGTTCTTCATACACCTTAAGAAACCTAGTGAGAGCTTTCCTTTGTTTTTGAATACCGATAATTGTACCAATTACATCTATTAGAACTGCTTAGTGAATAGAACTCATCTTTGCAATGAAATGAATCATTATAAAGCTGCCTAGGGCTTTTAATCAGCAGTAATTGTGCAGTAATCTTTAGCTGTTTTTCAGTTTGCATGGGGCATGGCAAGAAGGCACTCAAGCACATTAAGCACACAGCAAATTAGTCCTAAGAGAGAGAACTATTATTGGAGATGTTGATTCAAAGAATCTGTATGATGGGCCTAGAACTGCAGATGAAAGTTAGGAATGCTGTTTATTTCTCAACAACAGAACTTGCGGCGTTCATACAGTATAGTGCTTTCTCTTTTCATTTGTAACTACATTGTTAGAAATGTATTCATTGTAGGTTTAATTTCACCTATCGGGACTTCACACTACCTGATTGGCCACTCCGTCTGTCCCCTGCTCCCACCTCTCACTCCTCTCTCCCAGCTTTGTTCTCCTATGCAACATTGCCTTTGCTTACTGCCTTGTCTTTCTCACTCCTGAAGAAGGCTCCACAACTGAAATGTTGTGTTTTCTTTCTTCTCTTTTCAGCATGTAATAAACCTATTACTTGTGACACTGTTGGAGTACATCACATAGGCAGTTTTAAAAGTTCCCCAAACAGGGTTGAATTGTATTTTTTGAACAGTGAAAAGGGGTGTATTTAAATATACTGCGATTTAAATTTTAAGGAGTCAGTGTATATTTATTAACTCTTACATTGGTTGATTTTGTACACTTTATTAAAAAATGGTTGTTTTATCTCACCATTTGTTCTGATTGATGGGTTACTAGCAGCCAGAAGGTCCTCATAGTTTACTGTCCCAATTCTATTGCAGTAAATTCAGACCATCAAAACACTACAATAATTTAATGGAACCTCATATTTAGCAACAGTCTTAATTTTATGTAATAAAAGTAATTGTGGGACAAAGCTCAAATTTCTCAGAGGAGTAATATCCTTATGCTTCCAATATAAAGAGACAACTACTCGGCTTCCATTTCAAGACTACCTGAATGACAGTGTGTGTTCATTGCTGTTTAATAAATATCCCCGCAAATGGACTGAAGCTCACCAAAACTGTATTGACAGAGTAAGTAGAAATGTCCATGATATTGTCTGGGCCATTACATAAGAATGTGTGGGAGTGCAAACAGAAACAGTGGAGAACATGAAGCTGAAAGTTTCCTTGAAGGAACGTTAACATTGGATATACATTACAAGCACCTTTGTAATCCTGCACAATCCACTGAAAGGGATCAAATTCTAAAGCCCATATTCCCCTGCGTCTAGGTCAATTACTGCTGACAGAAATGTTCCCCAAACCAGCGAGTGGTTTATGGTCAGTTAAAATTGTGAAGTGCAGCTACTGAGGTAATGCCAAAAACGTCTGACCGAACCCTGTAGAACAAAACAGGAATCACAAATGCAACCACTTTCTTTTGATTGTGACGGAATTTAGCTAATACAGCACTTCTAACAGTTTCTGAAGCGTCTGTGTAGAGGATGAAAGGCTGGCTGAAATCTAGAATGGCCACAGCAGGAGGCTGGGTTCATAATAATAACAATAATAATAACAATAATAATAATAATAATAAACTTTATTTTATATAGCGCCTTTAAAGGCAGCTTCTCAAAGCGGTTTACAGGATGAAAATAACAATAAATAAGAAGAATGCAACAATAAATAAGAAGAATACACAAGATAAGACACAATAACAATATCTAGAAAAGACCGTGGATGGTGGTACTAAGAAGAGCAGAGGGATAAAGAATGGAACCATAAGAAAAGGCTTTTCTGAAGAAGAGGGTTTTGAGTCTGGATATCTCTCTGATATCCTTGGGCAAAGAGTTCCAGAGCTTGGGGGCATAACAGGAGAAGGCCCTGTCACCCATACAATGTAGACGGGCTTGGGGGACAGTAATGAGGGCAGAATTTGAAGAGCGGAGGTTGCGAGGTGGGGAGTAGGGCGATAATAGTTCAGACAGGTACTGAGGTGCCAAGCCATGGAGAGCCTTATAGGTGAGCATGAGGATTTTAAAGTCTACACGGAATTTGACCGGAAGCCAGTGCAAGGACTCCAGGACAGGAGTAATGTGAACACTTGTACTATACCTGGTCAGGATTCTGGCTGCTGAATTTTGGACATACTGCAGTTTGTTCAGAGTAGATTTATATACCCCAGCGAGTAGAGCATTACAGTAGTCAATTCGAGAGAATACAAATGTGTTGATCAGCTTTTCAGCCACAGTTAATGATAGCATAGGGCGATATTTCTAAGGTGAAAAAAAGATGTTTTGACAGTATGCTGCACATGTGGGTCAAATGTTAAGCCATCTTTAATATACATTCAACAGTTCATAAACATGGGACGTCCTTTTTGGATCAGTTTTTGAGTGGGGTTCCCTTCTATATGAAATGACTGAATTTTAATTCATTAATTTAAATTTAAATAATTCCAGACAAAATCTATCTGTGTAGAAGGCATTGTGGTTCTATGGTTTGGCTGAGCATCCTTTGCAGACATAACAAGTCCTAGGAAGACAAGCTCTTGTCGGACTTTCCATGCCAAAATTTCAAGACCTTTAAAACACTACTTTTAATGGGTTTATATTACCTTTAATTAAACTATTGAACACAATGATGTCATTTAAGTGAGGTATTTTGTTGAATGGAGTCACAGAATCCAGCACCACAAAGCATTGAAATGTTGGCAGTACATTGCAGAGGCCCTTAGGTATTATACACATTTGAGCATATTTACTTATGCTTGACTTGACTGTTAAGACTTGACTGTTAAGTAAAAGTAACTTTTTTTTTCCAGCAAAAGAATTTTCTGCCCCAGTACTTTTGAACTGCACTTACTGTATATATAACAAATAGCCTCTGCGTGAAAGCTGACTGCATAATGTTCATTCACATAACTCTTCATATCGGCTGCAGGAAATCTAGAAGTCTTAACTCCAGCCTTGGTAGTCATTTTTTGCAAGCTGATTCTATGGCCATCCTAAAATCACCAGGTGCCCCACACGCTGCATAAAGCTTTATAAGCTATTGCCAAGAAAAAAAAAGATGGTAGTATCAGTTTTACCAACAGTGTGTTCCTTCTGTTTTTATGCTCTTGCTTGCTTCCTCTTTCGAAATCTGTGTTTTGTACATTTTCAATTCGAGCTTTATTTTGATCCCCTAGGTCAATTTGTTTCATAGCAGAGTCCAGTACAACAATGCAACAAAGACAGACATCACCACCAAAGATTACAGTACAGCAGTGTTTCAGGAGATAAGAGAGTTCATTTACATTGAGAGTGATATTGCAGCAGGGATGAAAGATTTCCTTAGTCTGTAACCGTTACACCTGGGGTCACACAGGCATCCAGCGTCTTTAATGCATTTCACTTTCTTTAGAACTCTTTGTTTGCAAAGGAAGTTTTGGCTTATTTTATTTGCCCCACTGATTAATGATCTTCACTAAGTCTCCCAGTCCATTATACTTAATGGTGCTGATGTTTTTTTGGATATTAATTTAATTTATTAATTGCTTACACTTATTTAGTGCTTTTCCGAACACTACACTCAAAGCCTTTTAAAGGTAATAGAGACTCCCCTCCACCACTACCAATGCGCAGCACCCACCTGGATTGGAAACGGAACTGTTAATTTATTAGGAGAAAACATAAATTGACCACCTAAATCACAGCCTTTTTCTTTGATTTTGTAAGTTATGGTTTGCCATCCTTGTCATTCATAAAAGAGGAGACATTTCTTCACTACATACACTAGGGTGAAGATTGATTTCCTTCAACTGCTGCTAATTTTTTTTTTTTAGATTTACTCCTTATTTTATTTTGAAATTAGAAGGGAAAATATAACTGTTGCCATGAAAAAGAAATAGCATTTGAAACTTGTTTTCCCCATTAGTAAGGCTACTACCCTTATTATTGTATCCACTTGTCACTTGTGGCTATAATCACTTCAGTTAAAA